ATTTATTTTTTTATTATAATTTAATTTAAGTTTAATAACGAAATAATTTTTTTTTGGTTTAATAATATAACATTTTATAAAGATAATCATTAAGTATTCTGTTAAAACTCAATGATTATCCTAATTATGTTTTAGATTTTTTATATTTAAAATGAGATGTTTATCTTGTATTTGATTATGTTTATCTGAAGTTAGTTACACGAATTCAGATATGGAACTTTAATAAGTTGTACTTACGCATAATCTACTTGCAATCTTGAGTTTTAAGTAATATGCATTAATAAACAGTACTTCACGTATAAAACATGATTTTTAAGAGTTTTTGTCAAATGCTTTATAATATAGTATATATATGCATTAATAAACAATACTTTATGTGAAAAAAATGATTTTTAAGAATTTTTGTCAAATGCTTTATAATATAGTATATATATGCATTAATAAACAATACTTTATGTGAAAAAAATGATTTTTAAGAATTTTTGTCAAATGCTTTATAATATAGTATATATATGCATTAATAAACAATACTTTATGTGAAAAAAATGATTTTTAAGAATTTTTGTCAAATGCTTTATAATATAGTATATATATGCATTAATAAACAATACTTTATGTGAAAAAAATGATTTTTAAGAATTTTTGTCAAATGCTTTATAATATAGTATATATATGCATTAATAAACAATACTTTATGTGAAAAAAATGATTTTTAAGAATTTTTGTCAAATGCTTTATAATATAGTATATATATGCATTAATAAACAATACTTTATGTGAAAAAAATGATTTTTAAGAATTTTTGTCAAATGCTTTATAATATAGTATATATATGCATTAATAAACAATACTTTATGTGAAAAAAATGATTTTTAAGAATTTTTGTCAAATGCTTTATAATATAGTATATATATGCATTAATAAACAATACTTTATGTGAAAAAAATGATTTTTAAGAATTTTTGTCAAATGCTTTATAATATAGTATATATATGCATTAATAAACAATACTTTATGTGAAAAAAATGATTTTTAAGAATTTTTGTCAAATGCTTTATAATATAGTATATATATGCATTAATAAACAATACTTTATGTGAAAAAAATGATTTTTAAGAATTTTTGTCAAATGCTTTATAATATAGTATATATATGCATTAATAAACAATACTTTATGTGAAAAAAATGATTTTTAAGAATTTTTGTCAAATGCTTTATAATATAGTATATATATGCATTAATAAACAATACTTTATGTGAAAAAAATGATTTTTAAGAATTTTTGTCAAATGCTTTATAATATAGTATATATATGCATTAATAAACAATACTTTATGTGAAAAAAATGATTTTTAAGAATTTTTGTCAAATGCTTTATAATATAGTATATATATGCATTAATAAACAATACTTTATGTGAAAAAAATGATTTTTAAGAATTTTTGTCAAATGCTTTATAATATAGTATATATATGCATTAATAAACAATACTTTATGTGAAAAAAATGATTTTTAAGAATTTTTGTCAAATGCTTTATAATATAGTATATATATGCATTAATAAACAATACTTTATGTGAAAAAAATGATTTTTAAGAATTTTTGTCAAATGCTTTATAATATAGTATATATATGCATTAATAAACAATACTTTATGTGAAAAAAATGATTTTTAAGAATTTTTGTCAAATGCTTTATAATATAGTATATATATGCATTAATAAACAATACTTTATGTGAAAAAAATGATTTTTAAGAATTTTTGTCAAATGCTTTATAATATAGTATATATATGCATTAATAAACAATACTTTATGTGAAAAAAATGATTTTTAAGAATTTTTGTCAAATGCTTTATAATATAGTATATATATGCATTAATAAACAATACTTTATGTGAAAAAAATGATTTTTAAGAATTTTTGTCAAATGCTTTATAATATAGTATATATATGCATTAATAAACAATACTTTATGTGAAAAAAATGATTTTTAAGAATTTTTGTCAAATGCTTTATAATATAGTATATATATGCATTAATAAACAATACTTTATGTGAAAAAAATGATTTTTAAGAATTTTTGTCAAATGCTTTATAATATAGTATATATATGCATTAATAAACAATACTTTATGTGAAAAAAATGATTTTTAAGAATTTTTGTCAAATGCTTTATAATATAGTATATATATGCATTAATAAACAATACTTTATGTGAAAAAAATGATTTTTAAGAATTTTTGTCAAATGCTTTATAATATAGTATATATATGCATTAATAAACAATACTTTATGTGAAAAAAATGATTTTTAAGAATTTTTGTCAAATGCTTTATAATATAGTATATATATGCATTAATAAACAATACTTTATGTGAAAAAAATGATTTTTAAGAATTTTTGTCAAATGCTTTATAATATAGTATATATATGCATTAATAAACAATACTTTATGTGAAAAAAATGATTTTTAAGAATTTTTGTCAAATGCTTTATAATATAGTATATATATGCATTAATAAACAATACTTTATGTGAAAAAAATGATTTTTAAGAATTTTTGTCAAATGCTTTATAATATAGTATATATATGCATTAATAAACAATACTTTATGTGAAAAAAATGATTTTTAAGAATTTTTGTCAAATGCTTTATAATATAGTATATATATGCATTAATAAACAATACTTTATGTGAAAAAAATGATTTTTAAGAATTTTTGTCAAATGCTTTATAATATAGTATATATATGCATTAATAAACAATACTTTATGTGAAAAAAATGATTTTTAAGAATTTTTGTCAAATGCTTTATAATATAGTATATATATGCATTAATAAACAATACTTTATGTGAAAAAAATGATTTTTAAGAATTTTTGTCAAATGCTTTATAATATAGTATATATATGCATTAATAAACAATACTTTATGTGAAAAAAATGATTTTTAAGAATTTTTGTCAAATGCTTTATAATATAGTATATATATGCATTAATAAACAATACTTTATGTGAAAAAAATGATTTTTAAGAATTTTTGTCAAATGCTTTATAATATAGTATATATATGCATTAATAAACAATACTTTATGTGAAAAAAATGATTTTTAAGAATTTTTGTCAAATGCTTTATAATATAGTATATATATGCATTAATAAACAATACTTTATGTGAAAAAAATGATTTTTAAGAATTTTTGTCAAATGCTTTATAATATAGTATATATATGCATTAATAAACAATACTTTATGTGAAAAAAATGATTTTTAAGAATTTTTGTCAAATGCTTTATAATATAGTATATATATGCATTAATAAACAATACTTTATGTGAAAAAAATGATTTTTAAGAATTTTTGTCAAATGCTTTATAATATAGTATATATATGCATTAATAAACAATACTTTATGTGAAAAAAATGATTTTTAAGAATTTTTGTCAAATGCTTTATAATATAGTATATATATGCATTAATAAACAATACTTTATGTGAAAAAAATGATTTTTAAGAATTTTTGTCAAATGCTTTATAATATAGTATATATATGCATTAATAAACAATACTTTATGTGAAAAAAATGATTTTTAAGAATTTTTGTCAAATGCTTTATAATATAGTATATATATGCATTAATAAACAATACTTTATGTGAAAAAAATGATTTTTAAGAATTTTTGTCAAATGCTTTATAATATAGTATATATATGCATTAATAAACAATACTTTATGTGAAAAAAATGATTTTTAAGAATTTTTGTCAAATGCTTTATAATATAGTATATATATGCATTAATAAACAATACTTTATGTGAAAAAAATGATTTTTAAGAATTTTTGTCAAATGCTTTATAATATAGTATATATATGCATTAATAAACAATACTTTATGTGAAAAAAATGATTTTTAAGAATTTTTGTCAAATGCTTTATAATATAATATAAATTAGACAATTATGCTATCATGTATTATCTTTATATACATATGTTTTCAATCTCTATATAATTTATTTGTATATATATAATCAGTAATTGTTAACATACCTTCAAATCCATCAACCCGACCCAATCCAACTCATGGCTAATGTTTGGATAAATTGATTTTGGTTTTAGCACATTTCATTTAATCAACGTCTGTCGCAGCTTTTTTCTATTTTGATTTCATGCGAATCAAGATATCACATGGAATTCATTATTTAATAAACACCCAAAGAAATCAAGGGTGAAGAAGAACAAAACAACTGCATTTCTTCACCTTCAACCTGCTTATTCTCATGCATTTTCTGGAACCCGATTATTGGATGGGGGTTTTGATGTACGCCATACTACTCGACTTCCCAACCCTCGTCAATGTTTTCAGCTCGTAAGCAATCCAACATCTGGATCCATCTGTGTGATAGAAATACCCCAAACACTTGCAATCCTTCGTGCATTTGCTCTCACAATCGCTCCGATTCACCGGACCCGTCCCCGCACTGTATTTCACCGTAAAATGGTCCACCCCTTTGAGCTCGTAATAACGAAAACTACTCGCCTCGCATCCCGGCAACTTCGCAACGCAATCGTTGCTCCACGCAAACACCCCCTCCGCCGACGGGCACCCAACGCACTGGCTCTTCTCACAAAGCCCAAACTTCCCGCACCGATCAGGCAATTGGCACTCGTCTTCGATTTCCTCCCCCGTCTCGCTAACCCCCCTGTCGAACAAAGTGAACAACAAGCTCCACGCGTTTCCGCGGGTGTTTTGACGATAACTGTACAATCTTAAATTCCCGTCGATGCCCAGCCGGATATACGATAGCGTGCTGTTGTATCGGAGTATGCCGAGATCTAGAGTAGGTTCTACATCGGAGTTGGAGAGACGGCAGCGGAGCGAGTTAAAATAGTTATCCACGTATTCCGTTTCCGCAATTTCTAACGTCGCATTAACCAAATTCCCGTTGGCGTTATTCACTTCGGTGAAGGATGATGACCAGTAACGCATGGTCTTGTAATACAAAGCCAATCTTTTAGGCTCTAATACGAARCTATACACCCCGTTAACGTTTTCCGTCGTGGAAGCCCTGCTCACAAGCTTAGTAGGACCTCCGATCCGGAGACTCTGGCCGAACAAGATGGTATCGGTTGGGGAATCAAAGCTTTGCCA